ATCCTTTTGGCCCTGCGGCTCTTGTCCATCCGCCCTTGCGGGTTACCGACCGGCTTAGCAGAGCCGGTCTGCCCTGGCGGCGCACCATTGCCATCACCGCGCTTCTCCTGTTGTTCTCCCGACTTTGATTTCTTAGGCCTTCCAGCCTTCTTGACCTGCGCGGGATTCTTGGCGCTGTTCTGTCCGGTAGCCTCCGCGAGCTGGAACCTCACCCACTTGTCGAGGTCAGCCTGGATCTCCATGGCCTTCGCGTGTGGAACCGTCCTTAGGATTTCGGAGACGTTTTCCTTGCTCTTGGCCATCATGCTCGCGAACACCCGGCGCTCATCAGTCGCTGATCGAGCGGCAGCTGCTTTTGCCGCACGTTCCGAAGGATGCACGCCGTCCCCCGCGTCGTCGTCGTCGAACGTTGGCCCCCAGAAGTTGTCGTCTGCGCCCTCTTCACACCCGTCCCAGCCGTCGCCGTGCCCTGTCTCTTTCAACACTCTAGAGACGGTCCATGGCTCGTCGTTGCCGTCAAGCGATTGCCGCCAGCGTGCGTGGAGACTGTTGCCGTCGAAGCGGTGGTCGAGCAGGATTCCCTTGAACCTGCAGCCGAGGAAGCGAACTAGCACGGCGAAGTAGTGTCTGCAGACGAGGCCGTGTCGCAACAGCTTGAGGCAAGAGCACAAGTGGAAGCCATTGGGTCCGAAAACCACAACATGACCCGGCCTTGCAGGCGTGAGTTTGTATCGCACAGCCGCCGCAACGTGGACGGGGAGTTCGCCGATGAGGTCGAGGAGGGCCTCCAACGACGTGCGCGCCCATACGCTGCTGTCTTCAGTCGATTCCGCCTCAGGGCCACGCATGCAGTCCTTCTCCAGGTCAGTGTCAGGCGGCGCTTCCTCGAAAAGGCTAAGGTCGAAGCGAACGGCCTCAAGCTTTCGACGAAGGACACCCTCTCCCAGAGGATCGGGGCGGCCGTCGTCATCCGTGGCGCCTGCGCAGATGACCTCGACGTCGTATGACTGCGATCCGCCAACCTCGGCCCTAGCCTCCTGCGGAATGGAGCGGATCAGGATGACGTGTTGAGGGGGGCACATATTTAGTCCGGTATTTAGTCACATTTAGTCTTAAAGATCGCGTGAGGTACGCGCACAAGGAACTGCCTCGAAAAACGGCCTCGAAAAGGCAATATTTTGACGCTGGGCCT